ACAATCAAACGAAACGAAACGCGAATGCAAATGGCTTCTTTGTTGGCGTCGTTTTTCACGCTGAGTCTATTTGTACAAAGATACTGTGTTGCGTTAATGGGTTTCTTTGATTCCACCCTTTGTGAAATTCCACCCTTAGATATTTTCACATTCAAGCCTCGAGACACCGTGAAAGGGTGAAATCCTGTTTACGAGAAAACCTTGAAATCTCAAACCTTTTCACTTGCAAATATTTGTGCTTTGCGTAGAATCAAAAAGTTAAAAGAAACGATTTACCTAAAATACTTCTTTAAAAATTTAAAATTTAAAATTTTAAATGTTTTACTATGCAACCCTTTATACACGCACCCTTTATTTTTTGTCATCATAGCGTAAAAGGGTTGTGTGCACCGTGCACCGTCGTCGGCGTCAGCTATTAATAACTAATCCGGCAATCTGTATGCCCGCGAGCGAACGCATCCCGGCGCCTCCACCATCAATACAACTACAAGCGCACGCCTTAGAAATATGCGCGTCATGCATTTACGGGTTTTATCTGCACACCGTGTTTGTTTGCGCGTCTGCTTTTCAATGCCATGTGCCACCCCTGCTAACTGCAACGTACTATTTTATAGAATGACGCGCTTGAAACACGGAAACTGTCAACCTTTATAAGCTGCAACAACACAAAACACTTTAGTACAAGTAAAAGTCAAAGTTTTTAAATTTAAAAAAAAATGAAGAAAAAAATTTGTGTAAAATCAGCAAAATTTGTTATCTGTAGTTCTGTCGGAGCTGGGTTGATGTTTGATGAGGAGGAATAAGGGTGCATATTAATTGGCAATCTGTGCATCTTTTAGTTTTCATTTTCTCTTCAACGCTTGCAGATTTTTCTTCTTTTTTTTTCTTTTTGAGGTTTCTTTAGTACTTTTACTCAACCCTCAACCCTTGGTAGGTTTGTGGCGGCCGCCATTACACATTCGAGTTTTTTGCCCTCCGTCCAGGACAATGACACCAAAAATGTTGAATACGCTTTTCGGGAAACAAGAAAATCTAAAAATAGAACGCATAAAGCACGAAAAAAAGACGCGTCGGGAATTTTTAATTAAAATTTCTTATCATGAAAACAATTAACGAAGTTTTTTTAGTTACACAATAAAATTTTAAAAAAACTGTCATAAATTTGAAAAAATGTAATAAATCAAATAAATTCATATAAAAACAACCCTTCTGGCATAGGGGGTGAAAAAAAAGGTGAAAATCATAAAAAGTATTAAAAAACGCTTTAAAATGGTCGCTATTTACAAATCCCAGGGGCGAATTCAACATGAGTGCAGAGTAAAAGCAAAGGCAATAAAATTAACCACCCGCACCCCCCTCCCTCTCCTCATTCGCTAAATGTATTTCCAATCGCACAATGCGGGCTTTTTGCTTCACTTCGATAAATTAAAAACGTTGTGCGGACACAAGGACAATGAATGCGCAAGAATAACACAAATTAACCCTCTGTGCAAAGGGTGCAATAAGGGTGGTGAGTAAATTAACAAAAATCAATTTATTTCACAAAAAAAAAACTTTAAAAAATCAAAAAGTTGTGTTTTTATTTTTATTTGTATTTTAAATGCGTGTAAACTAATTAAAAGTTTCAAAATTTTGTAATTTTAGCCACCCCAATTTGCCCCAGCTTCAAAATTGCCAAAAACACAGCGCAAACTAATGATATTTTCGCATTCTCGGCTGGTCCTGGTTGAATCATTAGCTTCTGGTGGTGTTATCGTAATGAAAAATGAAGAATGTCACTCAAGAGCGCGCCCCAAAGTGTTCACCCCTCTTGAAACACGCGGAGAGCAAGTGGAGTGTGTAAGTATTTGAAAAAATGTTGAGCAAAGTTAATTAAGAACTTTTTATCTCACAAAAACGCGAATTATTAAAAGAACTTCGCCGGGATTTTAATTTTTTAAAGACAAAAAAAAGGTAATAATTTTATTTTCAATTTAAGATTTTCCCAGCTTTAACTATTTTCTATTCTTGACGAAACACGTACTTAAAACACATTTTACCACCGCGCAAGGTGTGGAAGATAAAACAGATAAAGTGCTTCTGGGAATTTGAACACTCCTGAAGCCCGAATCCCAAGTCAAGCAATCGAAAACCGAATTGAACGAATAAAACGCAAAAAACGCAAAAGAGGCACAAGTAGAGTAGAAAAAACAAAAGCAACATTCGACGTGCAGAGGGAAAGAATTGCGGCGAATTGAGAGGAATTCGAGCACATCGGCATACACCTGTGAACAAGCCGAACGAAATGTAAACGTGGAATGATGGAATGATGAGGCGCCGAGGGTGGCGCGCTCGAAAATGAGATAAAACAAAAGCGGAACGAGACTAAAAAGTCTCGAAAGAACCCGCCGTCCCAGCAGAGGATTGTCGAAAAGTAGCAATTTGTGTGGAAGGAAATAAAAGTGCCACTAATGGAATTGTCCTTGTTCAAAATCAACAAAATTCCTATACAAAAACAAGCAAAATTTAAAAAAACAAAAAATTATTCCAAAAAAAATTTAATAAGAAAGAATAAAATCAATACTAGAATTCCTCACGCGACAGGAATACAAAACATTATTTTTAGTTGTATACTAGTTCAATAAAACTGTCCAAAGTCCTTGAAATTCCCTGGAAAGCTTCTTTACAAGTTCCCAACAAAAAACCTCACTTTATATTTCCCTTGATATTCTCAGTTTTATATAGTTTCATGTATTTTCAACTTTTTTACTCAAAAAAACTAAAAAATGGAAATTTTAACCAACCCTCAATGTCCTCATGTCCTTGAGAAATACCTGTAGTTATAAAACGTTAGTACACTACCACTGCAAGAGCTTTCCACAGTTTTCCAGCACTTTCCACCATTTTACGCAGAATATCCGGACATATTACAATAAGAATACCAAGGCACAGCTTCTGTGGTACGGTGCCCACTTGTAGTGGCAGCTTGTTTCAACATTATATCGACGTCGACGCTATTCAAACTGAATTTTCGTTTCGGGCGCACAGAGGACTGAATATAAATAGCGCATAAACAGATCGTGTCGGAAATGCAGGACGTGCGGCTTCCAACTTCAATATGGGTATCACCAATATGGGTTTGCATTCTGTACTATTCCACACAAGATAAAGTCAAAGGTAAAACCATTTCGGAGTAAAATAAAAAGATATGTTTATGATTGTCATTTGGGTGCGGTTGTTAGGTGTGTGTTTGGTTGCCTAACATCTCAAACGCAAGAAATAGGAAACCTGTGTTTCGAAGAGTAAAACACTAGGTGGATCTGATTTCATGGTTGTTTTGTATTGTATTGAGCGCTGGAGAGGATTTTAGGCCAAGATAACGACCGTAATATACGAACAATATGAAAAGCAAGCAAATACTGCTGGAAACTCAAGTTGTGAGTGTAGATAAACCTCGAGGTCAACATTTTAAGTAAAATTATGTACAACTAGCGCCATCTAACGTCGATTAAAGTAACTTTTATATTATTTTATTTTTGTGTTTATAATTTTACGAGCGTGAAAACTTTTCATTGAATATTTTCATTTCATGTCAAATATGCAAGAAATCCCCGGATGTGATATTTCGTTTCCCGTAAACGCTGCCGCCACAGCAAATAGTTTTCTTATCGGTAAATAGAAAGCATCGCAATGCAGGCGTGCAAGAAGGCAACTTGCAATACGATATACCTAGCTTCCAACCCCCTGAATTTTACGACACCGCCGATGCGCTCTTATCGCCGTCGAAGCGAATAGATCATAAAAAGCAATCGCAGGTCTCGCGTTTCCATTCCGCGTTCGTAAACGCATAAACTCCGGCCGGGCGAGATGTCAGAGTCGCGATTTTTATTGCGATCCGCGAATAACAAGAAACTTGCCGGGGTATAAACGAAATAAACGCAAAACGAAATCAAACGCGGCGATAAATCAACATTCGACGTTTAGCCGGGGCATTGAAATGTTTATTGCGCAGTGAGGACGCCATCTTGGACGACAAAAGAGACATCTATGAATATTTTAAAAAAAAAATTATTTTATTTTGATTTTGATTTTTTTAATGTTTTAACTGTTGAATATTCAGATTTAACTTTCGAGATTTACTTTGGAATTCACATTTGTACGAAAATGTAAAAAAATGTAAAGAACTAAAATATATGTTGAATCTGAAGCAAACAAGATTCCGTAGTATGTACTCGTACTCGATGCGAGGCTTTGGCTTTGCGAAGACAATAGAAATTGAAAAATATGAGCTCGTTTCTGTCAATGCGATGTCGTCGACGTCGACATTGCAATCATGTGAAGAAAAAGTAAACATGTATCGATATCATTGTTTGCATCCATGAAAGAGAAAACAAATGGGGAAAAGTAAAAAGTCAAAGAGCATGAAACGAAGTAATAAAAAGTTAAATTGGCGGAAAATCACTCAAGGTACATATTTACCGTTCACAACAACAGAGTTATAAAAATAGATGATGCATATTTCATGAAACAAATATTAAAAGTGAGTTTTTGATGTCAAAAAACTAAAATTACGATTTAAAAACATAAAATAACAAAATTTTGGGATTTGACGCGGATTGGAATCAGTTTAATCTTTTGTCTGTTGGTTATAAACTCAATTACTCTAGTAAAAACGGCGGTAAATATTTTCTGAAGTCTAAATATGAATTCCGCGTCGTTCAGTTGTATTCACATGTGTTATGTTTAAATGATTTTGCTGTAACGCAACGTGCACCCCAACAAATTAACTGAAAAATCGTGCTTAAGTTATAGAAATTTGCATTGCAATTTGTGTGTATGTTGGGTTGCATAATTACAACAATATTTCAAATGTTACCAACGATGTCATGTCAATGAAAAAATATTCTAGCTCATAATAGTTTGAAATTAAAATATTTTTCGTCGTTACACAGAAGAAATGAATATAAATCAATTAAATTGAACACAATTAAAAGAATAAAATAGATATTAAAGTGACTCACCTTTTGCTTAATGATGTTCATTCAGATTTATTGCCATAAAATCCAAGTTCCGTTCAAAGTTTTCCTCCTTTCTTCTTGTTTGAATGAATTTGTTTTACACTTGACTCTAACACTTTTAGTTCGTACTGTTCTAAATGATAATTACACTAGAAGTCACAGACACGCCAGTAGCCACCTGTAACAATAGCAATAAATAAATAATTAGTATTAGTATTAATATACTCCTATCTAAAGATTTACATTAAATTAATCATTCATTTAACGTTTGACTGACGTTTACACACAAAAATAAGAGAATCTGAATCTGTGGAAGAATCTGAATTGAATTCAGAAAGTTGCTTGGGAATTATTCGTATTTATAATGTTGTATTGTATATAATGTATTATATTTAAATAATCAACCATTAGAAACGATTAATTGTTTAGTTTAGTTTAATAGTTTAATGTGTGACTCTTCACATCTCTGGAAATCTTCACACAAATTACAATGAATGAATAAATATATAATAAATATTAAAAATAAAAAATAAAATAACTTTCAATAGTTTTATATTTTATAGTAGTGCAAAAATTTTAATTTTAATTTTAATAATTTTTAGTGAGCGAAATATTGTATTGCAAACATGTGTTAAGTAAAATTTAACAAATTGGAACGAATTGATTTCGACAGGAGTCAATTAGTAATTAGTAATTGAGAAAATTAAGATTGTTATGTTCCCACATGGTTTTACATATGTTTACTTAACAATAAATCAATTAGATGTGAAATTATATTGTTTAACAAATTATTGCACATTAAAAATTGCAATTTTAGAAAAAATAAAACTATGATCATGGCTTAATTATTAAGTTTCTTAAGTAGAATAAGTAGATTTGTGTATTGTTGAAATTTGAATGGTTATTAGAGTAAATTGACTAATTAAATGGATAATTAATTAGTGCAGAGTATCACACTTAAGAGTAGTCCAGTACTAATGAAAATTAATACTTATAAGCCCTACTTTTAAACTGTTTTTATAGAATTAAATGGAAACCAATTTTTTTTTCATTTATTTTGTTGGTAAACACAGAAATTAAATATTTATGGAACAGAATTGTACCATATGATAGCAACATTGAATTTTTAGTTATTAATTGAACATTTTAATATAAAACAAGTGAAAAAACAGTCAAAATATTTAAAATTTAAACCCAAAACATTAAAATCTCTAACAATTCAAACTTTTTCGCACGTTTCATGCACTTTCACATCCATAAAACGAAATTTCAACGAAAACAAGATTTCACACGTGCTAATTGCAATAGCACCTAACTATAATTACTACAGCAACTGCAGTTAATATTTCAATGCAATTGTCACCATTCAGCATGAAAAGCAAACTTGATTTCGAACATTAATATTCCCCGAATTCAACAGCTCCAGCCGTGAATCCAGGAAATCTGAAATTAAACCGCCAGCGCACTACTGAACTAAAAGTCAACGAATGTCATTAATGCACTATTTACGCTGCACGTTCACATTTACGTACTGATGATGCAGCGAGATGTTTAGATCAAGAGTGAGACGAGTGCGAAAGGTGTCATCGGGTTAGCGAGCGTGTAAAGTGTTTCCAATTAGCAATTAACGCCAACTCGCTAACTAACTGGCTATAATTCACTAGTATACACGTTTAACATGGGCCAAGAATAGAAAATTTCAAACAAAAAAATTTAAAAAATTAAAATAGAAAGTCCAGAAATGAAATGAAATGGAAATTTAATAATAGAGCGACATCTGTCGGGAATAATAACTGTCATTTTAAAACAACTGTCAAATCACTAAAAAATATCACAACGTGATGAATATGATTGTAACATTTGTGTTTACATTCGTACGAAATTTCCAAACATGTCAAACGCACGAAAAACGAATTTATGCGATTCGCACAAAAGTGCATAAAACCAAATGGCAGACACGTCCGATAACGAAATTCCACGCTTGACGCATTCACGCAAAAACAATGCACACAATCCCCGTCAGACTACACAAAAATTAGTAAACTATCGATTCATAGATGGCGTCACTACGCGCGATACGCAAAAGCTGGCAATTTGATGTGTTTAATGTGTCGTAATGCGCTTCACGGCGAATAATTGTGAATATCTGCGGCGGTTGATTGGTAATCTGCGCAGACACGTGTTAAACGCACCACAGCCAACACGCCGCCCACGAGCAAATGTCGCGGTGTGCATAATTTCGATTATTTCCAACGCCAACGCACACGCTTTATAAATTTTCGGCCGTACGCATCACATCCAGTCATTTTCGTGTTTAACTTTACGATTGAATGCGCAAAATGTGATTTTCGCGCAATAAACACATAAACTATACAAATATAAACTACTAGCTGTTGCCCGCGACTTCGTTCCGGCAGTGTTTAATAAAAATGTTATTCGTTTTTACTCTCTTGTTCTTGATATACTCGTAGTAAGAGTCAATTCTATCAATAAAATTAGCAATTTTAATTTAAAGAAATTAATTATATAAAGTTTTGTCCATAATGCACTTCAGCGCGCCATCTCGAATTGAACTATTTAACTATAACTATGATTGAATCTCAATGTCAAATTTTATTCTATAGAAAAGAGCTGTTTTGAGGATTTTCCCGGCAATTATTCGAATTTTTCTCACCTTTTAAACCTTCCCTAGACCTCCACGAATAATTCAAGACCAAGATAAGATAAATCCGTTCAGCCGTTCTTGAGTTTTAGCGAGACTAACGAACAGCAATTCATTTTTATTTATATAGATTAACTGAAAAATTTACTTCGAATATTGACCGCTAGATGGCTTGTAAGTGAGTACAAGTAAATTATTAATATTCATATATTTTTTTAGGATTGGAGCGTAGTTAATGAGAATATTGAAATTGGAAAAAATATTACGACCTCGCCTTTCGTGCGATTGAACCGTGAATATGGATGTATGTATTTGTTGGCCGGCGGCCAAGCAGCGAGGCCAAAAATCAAAATAAAATTCAATGAGGAGTACTTACAACTGAAATAACTCTCGAGCGCGCGCACACAGCACGAATAGTGATATTCCAGCCGGCGCGGGCCAAACAACATGACGAAAACGCAATGGAACGTAAACTATAATGCAATGTAAAGTAATGCAGAGTAATGCAAAGTAATGCCGTGTAATGTAAGCCAATGCAAAGCCATTAGGAATGTGTGTCATTCGATACGCGAAGTTGAAAAGTCCAATAACTTCCGAAAGGTTGAACTTTTATTTTTATGTTTTTTGTTTGCGCAGCGCATGGAAACAATAGAAAATTAGTGAAAAACAAAGAAAGACGTGATTTAAATAAATTGGAAAGGCAGTAGTTTATACAGGGTGTTATGGACTATCTATAGAAGAAGAAATTAGGTTGATATCACTTTTAGTTTTAGAGTTATTCGCGATTTTGTGAAATTTTACATTCGTAATATTAAAAATGAAAAATTTCACTTTACCTAAATATTTCATTGATGATTAAACATATCAAAAAAATTCAAACACACATTAATTCTCTAATATATAATACGGGATTTTATGGACAATCTATAAAAGAATAAATTAGTTTGATATCACTTTTAGTCTAAGAATTATTCGCATTTTTCTAAAATTTTAACATTCGTGACACAAAAAATGAAAAATTTCACTTAAACCCTGATAACTCACGTATAAATAAACATATCAAAATAATTCAAACGAATATTAATTCCCAAATAAATTCCCTTTCCAAAAATACCTCACTCAACATTATACGATTATAACCTCCCAAGTTATTAATCCGCAAAGTTGATAAATATTTTAACAGAAAAAAATAATGATTGACTTGATGACATTTTCGACAGAATAATCCACATTTTCATCCCCAATAATAAAAATCCCAATAAATATAATAAAAATTTAAATTCCGCACACAATAATTATTTTATTCCGTCCATCACGCCTCTAGCGACAAATATAGGTTATGTACAAAACTAGAATTTCATTGCCATGTCATTTTTTCAAATCCCGCCGCGTTTCGAATTCCAATTTGTTTTTTTCCACGTTTTGTCCGCATGCGTTCGTCCATTATTCGTTATAGCATTAATAAAATCCTAATTGTATTGGTTTTATTGCAACCACCGCAAGCGTCCTGTTCCCGATGCAATAATAATGCAGTATTAAGGGTTATATTCGAAAAATTATTATCATCCCCGAGATCATATAAGTAAGCATCATCTTTCTCATCGAATTCACAACCGTGGATAGGAGATAAAGGATTCGTTATATTTAATGTTATTTTTCATCCCTTTTCCAGCCCTTTTCAACCCTGCGTCGAACGTATTGGGATAAAATTGGAATTTTTGATATTTTTTTTTACTTGTCGACAGCCCGCATCGAAAAAAGAACATTTTACGTTTATTTTCAGATCATTGAATAAGGGAGTGAAGTTTTAGGGTTTTTGAGGGTAGAGGGTTGAGGTTTGTGCGGTTTGCCTTCTGTTCTCAATTTTTGCGAAATTTACGAGGCTCGTATTCGCATTTCGCTTCGTTTCGATGACTTTACGATTTTATTGAGTTTTATTACATTTCATCCCCTATGAGGAATTACATCTACGATTGCTTTGTCATAGCAAACAATTTTTAATTATTTTTTTGTGCAAAGAATTTTAATTTAGAAAGAACAAAAAAACACCCATAGAGTTGAAATTAGAAAAGTATCAATGAAAACCACCAGCGTGAATTTGACCCAGGGCTAAAAGCAAACAGTAATCAAACAAAGGGGTTGAACACTCAAGGGGAAACCACCCTTAGCAAAAAACAAACACGTTCCGACAAATTTTCAATTTTAATTCGATTTTCAAACCCTAGATAAACTTGTTTTACCTTACAACCCTTAAAAACCACCCCTTTAATAACATTCTTATTGATCAAGATGATTTTTACGTTAAAGTTTATCACCACAAATCTACTATACGAAGAAAAGCTGCATTTTTCTTGTTTTACAAACGTAAAATGCAAAAAAACAAATGATGTATGAGGTTTTGAAGCATAAAGATTTACGACACTTATTACTTCTGATAAGGTCGCTCATTCGACCATTCGTGAACGTTTCAAGCACCTCCACTACATTACATTTAGCTCGCGTTTATTTTTTTAGCA